CAGAGATCAAAGCAGTGAGATAATGTATCTTAGGTTCCTTATAGATTTTAAGTATTTGGGTCCCAGTTCCGTAAGAAGGACTCTCTTTGGATTCTATAAGTTTCCCAATTGTAGTATAAAAGCTGCTTTTTTTGAGGTAACATAAAGGAGTCTCAGTTTTGTGCAATGAAAATGAAACAAATAAATAAGAATTGGAAAGAGCAAGTAAATTAAAAATATGGCATGGTGGCTGTGGCAGAATCCAGGCAGAACTAGATGTCTCTTTAATCTTTTGATTCTATTACGATTTTACAAAGCGTTTATGACTGACTAAAAATTAACCTAGACATTTTCAAAGACTTTTGCAGAGTGAATCACTTTAGGAATATCTAATCACTGAATTTGCTCCATGGTTCAATGGCCTAAAGAAAATCTCAGTTAAAACAGTTCTTAATACAGCATTAACCTTGCTGATCTCAAGTGTTTATTTTTCTCTGTTGCATAATATATGTTATTTTTTCATTAGTGTGACCTTAATCATCTGCAGATTTGTCAGATATTGTTGAATACAGTGTTCTAAATAACCCGGGACCCAAGCGTTCCAAGCTGCATGCTTGCTTGTTTGAGCAAATAGTACAATACTGGAAATTCTTTTTTCTCATTTGCTAGCTTAATTTTTAAAAGAAGCAATTGGTTTTTAAAAACTAACTCAAGTGCAAGTAGCTATGTTTTTATAATGAAAGATGTTCTTAACTTTTGTCATCATATAGATATTTACTCTTCAGTTAATAATCTTAAGAAGTATATGTTTTGTCTTTTTATGCATGAAGGAAAATTTGTGTTTTTTTTATTAGCATTCTAGCCTAGACCTTTCTTTGTACTCAAGAAGAACGTCATTAAGGGGAATACACACAAACACATGTGCACACATACATGCACATGCATACACACATATATACAGACACATACACATTCATATATATGTACACACACACACAATTTTAAACATTGGTTGTAGATTTTTATACCCATTTTGTTGTATTTACAAATGAACCAATGTATTTATCTGTTACTGTTTTCTTGTAACATTCAACCATCAATCCCTTACAAACATCATGAATGAAATGCATGATAGCTGCTTGTAACAGAAGGTTAGAGCTTCAGTGTATCATTTTGTCTCAAAGTGTGAGTCAGGGACCATTAATAGTTCATCTTAAAGTATAAGTGTTCATGACATTTAATTTTCTTTTGGCATAAATTAATAGCTTATTTTGGAAATACGAAATAAGCAAACAAACTATATTAAAACTTACGAAAAGCAAATCAGATTCTCCCTAAATTCTGATGAAAACTTCCTGATGACAAATTGGAAAGGATACCAAGAAATTGTGCCCAGAACCTGTGGCACTGCAAATCCACAAAGATAAAGAATCAATGAACTGTATGCTTGTGGGATACATTGCTTAAAATTAATGATTTACTCAAAAAAGAGCCAAAGATAAGAAATAAGTGAAGGAATAGTTTACATTGTAAAAGACAATTTTTTAAATTTGACCAAGGAATGTTTCCATATAGCATTGCCGTTAAGAAGTAGAGTTAGTATTCAAAAACTAACAATGTTAGGGTTTTACTCTATTATGAAATATGATTATTTTATATATTATTTTATTTGTGAGGTGATATTCAACCTGTTATAAATATGAATCCATGTATTCAGCCATATTAATAATAAATATCCATAATATCAATTGTTGTCCTTCCTTTAGCTGCTTACAAAAGGCACTCAATAAATATTTGTCAAATGGTTTTTCTTTTTAATAGCCAAATTCTCCAATAGCATGGAGGATTTGGTGAAAACTATTTGGATAATTATTATCATTAGTCTAAATTAAGTGTTGTTTACACTGTATTAAACAGAGTGCCTAAATTAATATCTGAATTTGTTAAGATCTCTGGAACCAAAGTACAGGGCTTTTAAATCCTGAGTTGTTGTTAAGATAAAGTGAGTCAGTGCCTGGACCATAGTATAAATACTCAGTAATACTCTTATCATCATTTTGAAAAAAAGTAGTTTCTTAAGGTGCTTCACAATTTGGTGTTATAAGTTTATTAACATATGTCCAATCCAAGAATTATTAAACAAAGTCATAGCCTAGACTTTATACTTTAAAACAAAACTTGAAAAATTTCTTCAATATTTAAGCTAAGTTCCACTGATAGTGTTAGTGGTGGATGTAACCAGTTTCCAGGTTCTTGTCCCATTCCAGAAAGAATTCAGAGACTAGACACAGTGATTAAAAAAGTAAAGTGAGGCTTTATTAAGGGATGGATATAGTACACTCTCAAGAGGAAGGCAGGCAGACTCAGGTGAGGGGCTGCCCCAAGTTTCTTTGGCAAGTTGGTTACATAAAGTGTAAAAATTAATGGATGGAATATTTATTAGGGAGGGAAGGGTCTGGGGTTGTATTCTCTGATTTTCATCCCAACTCCACCTTCCCAAAGGGAGGAGGGATTTTTGTCTTTATTTAGTCTGGATCAGAAGTGTCATGGCCTCGGTGTATGATAGGTTCTTTTAATCTGCAAGGCTAACTTACCCCAAAAGGTGTGACCACTTATCAGCCCAGAGGTTCCTGCTTTTCTTTGTCTGCCCAGGGACCCCTGTTGCTTGCATAATGTATGGTTTCCTGCATTTGGCCTATGTCTCTCCTTTCTGCCCAATTCCTGCCATTTGGCCTGTGTCCCCCTTTCTCTGCTCATATCTAGCCATCTGCCTGCTCTAACAATAGAAGCCATAAAGGAAAATGCTGAGAAATTTACCAGATAAAATTTAAAGCAACAATGTATTAAAGAAAATGTTCAACAAAGTTAAAATCTAAACAAATTCTTAAAAACGTATATGCAACACGTGTGATAAAGGATTAATATTCTTAATCAGTAGAGAACTCTACTTAAGAAGTACAGAATTCATCAATATGAATTGATTTATAAAAACAAGAAATGTACAAAAAAATTACCCAAGGATGAGCAAATAAAAAAATGTTCAAACTAACTGAAGATCCAAGAAAAGCAAATTAAAATAACCATGAGCTGCCATTTAAAACCAATGTGGTTGATTTTTAAAGTAATGATATACAGTACTTTATCTGCATATCCAGAATTCAAAAACTCTAAAAACTGCCTTTTATAACTCATTAGCAGCAAAAAGTAACCTGACCTGGACATGCTGGAAGCAGACCAGTGCTAACTAATGAGAAGCAGTCCTTATTTGTGCCTCTTAGTGAGAGTCACATGATCTGGGCTGCTTAAATATTCATGACTTTGATTATAAAGTGCTTCCTCAAACTTTGCTTGAAGCGTTATGGAATAGAATGCATTTGCATCGTTTTATCTTTCTAAAGTGAGAAAAATTCTGAATTCCAAAACCTCTCAGTCCTGAAAAGTTTTGAATGAGGAATTATGAACCTGTATTTAATTTGATGGTACAGAAAAACAAAGTCACTCATAAATTCCCAGTGACTCTGTGTGGAAAGGTAATCATCTGGAAGATAGATATACATATATAGATTTAGATCAATATAGATATAGATTTATCACATCTATAATTAGATGTGATATATAGATTTGTCACAACCATAAAAGGGTACATGCCCTTTAATCTGAAATACCACCTCTAGGAATTTATCATGACTAAATTACTAGGAAATTGATGAAAGATTTAGTTTTTAGTAAGTCCAACGCAGATGATATATACCTGGAAAGTCCCAAATGTTCAATAATAGAAGACTGGTGGGATTACACAGACTGTGACCATAACACACTCTACTCTGGTGCCACGTTAAAAGTGATACTGTTCAGTAACACTTAGTCATGTTGAAGATGCCCTTGATATTTTGTTAGATAGAAATACCAGGCTGTAAAAATAATATGCACTGTGTGATCTAATTTCTTTAAAATTTATTTGTATAGAAAAATATTTGAAGGCTATTCACCAAAATATTAATAGTAGCTTCTCTGGATGGCAGGATTGCAGATGATTCTAATTTTCTTTTTGTAACTGTGTTTTTTCTATCATAAATATATGTTACTACTTGGAATAACAAAATTTTAAGTGTCATTTAAATATGTTACTTAAAGCGTGGCAATGTATCTTACTTAGATTTCAAGTTCTATGTATATAATTAATATCTATATAATTAATATCTATGAAGAAAATATATTATTAATGTATATTATTCATAGTTATATAATTATTATTCATATTTATTGGAGTTAATAATTATAAAGGCTCAATGAATTTGGGAAACAGTATCATAAAGCAAAGCCTGGTTTTCAAATAGAATGTTTTTACCTAAAGTACCTTTTATCATATTATTGATATTTTAATGTATATGTGTATTAAAATTTGCTGTGGAGAATTGAGAATATGAAACATATTGTCAAGGATGTTTAGAATTTTAAACTTTGTACAAAAATATGCCCAGATTGTTTATTTGCAGCATTCAAATTCTGACCCATAGAAAGAGAACAGCAAGCTAGCCATCTCCAATAGTGGGATGTCAATTGAGAATGTATAATCTCTTTGTTTCAGTCATCAGAAACAGTTTGCTATTCTCAGAAATATATTTTGAAAATATGATCTTTATCCTGAACTGCTCCTTTTAACAGTGCAAATAAATAAGAAAGCTGTGTGCTCTTTCAGGAAAGCAATGTGCCTTCTGTATTGCCTTGATTGGTGGTAACGTGAAGATGTGCCACTCTACTGCTTGGCGTAGGATAAACAGCTAGACCCAGTAGTATATCTGCAGAGAGAAGAGCTCTGTGTTTTAAGTGTCAGTTTTCAAGTCAGTGTTTCTTATAGTTCCTACAACATGCGTCTGAAATTTGGTGCTGACTCTGAATGCTTTATGCCACTTTGGTAGACTATTTCTGCAATTCACAAACAATTAAATTATATTACTTTTTATTAGAAATAGTGATATCTGTTACTTACTTACTGAAAGAAATAACTCTTTCTTTTTCAGAGCTTCCATATGGCTGGGAAAAAATCGATGATCCCATATATGGCACTTATTATGTTGAGTAAGTCTCTAAGTTTGATATTAACTTGTTACTAATGTGTCATGAAATTGTGTTAGTATTTCATTTATTGAGCATATGTGGCCAACAGCTCCTTTATTCCCCTTTCATCTTACTTTGAAGTACCCGCAAACACTCTAGCAGCATTAACTAGCTGTGTCTCGCCTTTCCAGCTGGCTAATTTGTCTTTCCTTTCCTTTGACTCATGATTCTAAAACACCAATTGGAAAAGTGTGTTTCACACTGTCCTCTAAATGAATGATAATTAAAGATATCAAAGTAAATGCCCTTCATTTTGCAATCAAAATGTTGGGAGCTGACCGGTTGTGCGAAAGAGATGTTCTATTAAACCAGATTTTGAAGTCAATTAAATGAAACAACCATACTCTCCAGTTGAGGAACGAAATAAAATTCAGATTTTTTCTTTGTCTTTTAAGGCTCCATTTTAAATCAAGTGTTTTTTCTGTAGATTGAACATTTATGTTATCTATTGGAGATTGCATGGCCTTAATATATCTTAGCATAGTATGTTACCCCTCCTCACAGCCTTTTATTCAGAATAAAGACCCTATTAGGGATTCAGCTATATACACATTTTTTTCATAGGAAAATCAAGTAATAGTCATAATTTTCAGAAGTTAAATATGTGACTTACTTTTCCAGAGCCTCCTCTTCTGATAGAAAATGTTTTAATTTTTATCTGTTGTGTCATGTTGTTAATGTTACTCGGTGAATAACAAAACCTACTTACCTAAGAATTCAAAAGTTGAAAAACTATAGATGTTCACATTATTCATCAAAATCTAACTCTGTTTTCTCCAATCATATTCTTTTTAGCAATAATAGTCTAGATGATAAAGGATTACAGACTGATGACATCATTGCTAAATTGTTTTTGCAGCAATATTCAGACAGTTACTGAGCGTTTACTAAGTGTTGAGCCCTTTTCTGTGCTGGGGAGATACAGATGAGTATGACCCCTGTGCTCCCTGCCCTGGAGCAGCTCCCTCATGAGCACTTAATACTTTGATCCACCATCTTCATCTGGAAAAGCCCCAATTTTAGCACCATAGTCAGTCATTTCCAGTAAAGGTGAATTCACTTCATTTGTCAAATGTAGTTTTCTAACATGGTGTCTAGTGTTCTAATGTCATGTGGATGCTCAGTAGATGCAAAAAGTAAAATAAATACATGGAGATATCAGTAACTGTAAAAATAAAGGGAAATCACTTATAAACACTTGTAAGACTCCAAATCCCACTATATTGCTGATCAATTAAAATATACATGTATTTTAATAATAACGTAGCTGCAGCTCCTGGTTAAATTAATCAACATCAAAGGTTTCCATTAAATGCTAGCTTGTCTTTTAATTTATTGAATCAAATCAAATTGTCCCTTGCCTAAACATATTACATCTGAAATCCAAGGTCATTCCACGTAAGCAAAGAGAGCAGAGGTATGTAACATATAGATTTCATCTTTAATACACTTCCTTGCAGAATTTTATTTCCTGAGTCCAGATATTGACAATTCCATAAAGAGCCAGATAACAAGTATTTTAGGGGTCCAAATGGCCTTTGTCACAACTATTCAACTCTGCTGTTGTAGCTTGAAAGCAACTATAGGTGACATTTAAATGAATGGGGTGTAGCTATGTTTAAATAAAATTTTATTTACAAAAAAAAGGCAGCTGGCCAAATTTAGCCTGCAGGGCATGGTATGCTGACCCTTATCCTATTCTAAATCTTCAGATTTTTCTTCCATGTTCTCAACTCCTTTCATGCTGACTTCCAATGAGGGAAATAGTATTTAACTCAAACCTTCCTTTTCTGCCTGTCTGTTGTAGAGGTGAGAGACCCATGTGTCAGAAAGCAATGCTTCCTTTACTTCTTGATCATAGAAGTGTGTGTTCTCCAAGTAAAGATCTGCAGCTGGTAGACCCCTTGTAGTTAATGACTGAATTGGACATTAGCTATAAACCTAAAAGAAAATTGTCCTCATTATCATTATACTTCAGATGGTTTACCTTGTATTTGGTTTTGCTTGAATTGCATTTCTTTCTACATTTCTCCACTTTATTTTTCATGTATCATCACCATAGTCAGTAAATTATTCATAATTTAGTCCGCCATGTCTTACATAATCAGATCAGACTAACATATTTAATGGTTTTAGATTTCAAGTGGTTGTGAGGTCTCAGATACAGGTCATAGTGAGTCAAGTAGTTCAGCTTCCTTCAAGTTGCATCCAGCTCCTTGTCATGGCTTTTTCCCCATGACATGATTCCATAAGATACATCAGTACCAATAATTAGGTGTGCGGCTGTATCAGATCAATCAAAAAACCTGAGACAGATAGTTCAAGTCTCAAGATAATTTTAAATAGAACTATATGCCAATATTTCTTAGAAATGTCCTTTGTAAAAAAAAATCATCAAAATAATTAAAATACCTCAATTTGTTCTATATAATGTTAACATTACTTGAAATAAGCAATATCTTCCATCACAACAAAGACAACTTGTCCCCTTTTCACTGGGGTACACCTATTTATACAGTTTGTTTTAACTGTTCAAAAAATTGAAATTCATCTCCATCACCCTATGATTTTCATAAGGTATCTATTGGTTCTGAATAGTAGTCTTGTTTGTGGAATTTATACAAATATATATATGAACATAGTGGTTATTTATCACTTTCAGTTCATAGAGTATTTTTGTTGGAAAAAGGTCACCTAATTTCTTATAGTTAATTATAAGAAAAAAACAGTAAGACTCATTTAAGTTACTACATCAAGTTTCCATTCTAGATAGCATAAATATAAAGTAAAAGATGCCTAGATTAAGATACTTTATCATTACAGTGATAACAAGGAGTCGTATTTTTTAGTTTGTAATATTAACATTCAGTTAACATAAGAAAGCAAGGCAGTCTTTACTGTAAATCTGTCGTCAAGGAAATGTCAATTCACTAATCCTATCAATGATGATGGATTCTCTGAAGAGCTATCATTTTTGGTGTTTAATTACACACCCAATTACACAATTAGAGGTACTAGTCACAAAATATAAAAAAACAATTCCACTTTCCCACCCAGTGGGGAAAAAAACCTATGCAGGGCAACTAGGAGTCTAACCTAGCAGTCAGTTACTCTTCAAAAAGACCAACAACTGGGAGCAGAAATTGTGGAGTGGGCTTTGTCATCAGCAGGGCATGTGAGATTGAAATCAGCCTTGTGCCTCTGGCACAGTTGCACAAACATTCATTTTCCTGCCAGCCACAGACAAGCAGATAGGATTCCAGCAATCAATATCAAAAAAAGTGTTTATATAACTTGAAACCAAAAAACCTGAATTGAATAGTTTTTGACCACTGCTGCTGACTTTACCTTACTGTGCCAAAATTCAATTTTAACATTATAGGTTTAATATATCCAACTCAGAAAAATTATCATCATCATCATTGTCATATCTTTAAAACTAGAGAACATTTATTGAGTGCTTAGTATGAAACGGGCTTTAACGCATTTATAATCCTCTCTATAGTATAATACAGTAAATTATCTTAAATTTATAGATGGGAAAACTCTGGCTGAAGAAGTTAAGTAACTTACTCAGTATCACATATTACTGAGAGGAATGGACACTAGGACTCCAAGCTCTTGCTCAAAATGCATCCCATTAATGTAGCGTTCATAATCTGTGATGGTCCAAACAAGCTTCTGTAACTCATCACTGGAGAATAACAAGGGGTCCCCAGAGAACATCTCCTCCCTGGCTCCCCTCTGAAACAATATCACAGGAGGGTGCCCAACAGTGGGAAGTCATGCTTCATAAGCCCCATCAGACTGGCTTCTAACTCAGGCATTCTGAGCCACCAGCTCCATTACCCATGACTTGAGAGAGGCCCTGGACACCATGGCACCCCAGGAGCAAGACTCCCATGTTCTGAAAGAAGAGGAGTCCCTATTGTGTGGACCTCGATGTAGGGATGTTGGCCCTAGTTCAGAGCTACAGAGGCAGCCACGCAGCTCTGTATTTTAAAGAACAGTGAGCCCTACTCAACATCTTTCCCTATTTCATCTGCAGACAGAACAGACCACATTTCTACTCTATGTAGCCACAGAAAGAGGTTAGCCCAATTTCTCCTGACAGACACCAAATCCGTTATAGTGCAGCACTTAGCAATGTATTAAAAAGCCCTAAAGTTGCTAAGTAGAAATTTATCTGTCACTAATCATAAAAAAGGGAATATTTTTGATGAAAAAAGTACAAAATGTAGAGTTGAACAGCTGTGAGTTTTGTACAAATGTGGTTTTTTCTCCTCTTTTTTGAAATTATGTCTGCTGGGTACATTTTGGTTTCAATGGCAGTTACACAATTTGCTTAACTAGCTAGTCCAGAAGACACAATTTCCTGGAACAGCTTTCATGCAAAGCTGCCTTCTCTGGCACAGAGAAGCAAACCATAAAACTACAGTTAAAATGATAGTGGAGACTGACAGATGTGATTTTCATGTGAAGGTTTTACAAGTTTTCATGTGATGTCACACATCTGCTACTATGAAATGTTACTTGTGTGCAATTCCAGAAAGTATGAAAGATACTGCATAATATCTCCAACATAACATTAAATGTAAAAGGAAAATTGCATTCATTTCATGGTTAACGATGAGTATGCATCATGATGTAGCAAGTTGGAAAGTCATTAGAGAGGATTTTATCTCAGTGTCATATCTTAAGAATATTTTTCTCCTTCATGCCTTTGAGTAGTTTTCTAAATATCCCAAGAAAAAGCTTCGTAACTTTAGAATTTTTAAAAAGTCAGCATAAATGTAAAACATTTCCAATTAGAAATAAACATAAAAGAATATCCTTTTCAAATCTTGCTCATTCTTAAAGAATTTTTTTCCTGTACTAAAAGTTGATTTTTCGAACTTTCCATTTTTTTCTTCAGTCTTCAAAAACTAGAAAACTTTTCTTGGTGCTATTTAAACAGCTAT